CTCCTCGCCTGTGGGCTCCTCAGCAGGTCTCCAGATTCGTGGCCTTTAATTTAACAGTGGAGCTACCACTGCCAGGAAATGTTCTTTTTTTTTAAATAATATGTTTTTTTAATTGATTCAGAGAAGAAAGGAGAGGAAGAGAGAGAGAAACATCAATGATGAGAGAGAACCATGGATCGGCCGCCTCCTGCACACCCCCTACCAGGGATCAAGCCTGCAACCCGGGCATATGCTCTCGACTGGAGTCGGACCCGGGACCCTTTGGTCCACAGGCCGACGCTCTATCCACTGAGCCACACCAGCCGGGGCCTGGTGCTGGTCCTACTCGCCCACAGACACGTCATCCTGCACTGGCCTTCTCTCCTGAATTCCTTCCTTCGTCAAATGTACCCAAGAGGGACTTGGTTATAAACCGTGATCTCCTGGTTCATAGGTCGATGCTCATGCCAGCATGCCAATGAGCCACACCAGCCGGGCTGGTCCTACTTTTAAAAAAATAATAATTTATTTAGTGGTTTGAGAGAGAGAGTCCACCCCAATGCTCCCCTGGCCCATCGATGGCCGTAGTCGAGTAGCCTTGTCAATATCTCTTTGTCTGTGTCCACCCATCTGTCCATCCGTCTGTCCGTCCATCTGTCCGCTGAGCCCCCCCCTCCTCCCGTGGTTGATTCTTATATGTGCCCTGACGGGGGATCGAACCCGCAACCTTGGTATGTGGGGACGATGCTGTAAGCAGCTGAGTGACTCAAGGGCATGTGTGGGGTCACGTTTATGTGTCTTTCCCTGCCATGAGGGTATGGAGCCAGCAGGGACCCATCCCGGCTCTCAGAGAGCACGGCACAGTGGGCCCAATGTGCACGTTTTACCCAAGAGCCAGAGCTCGAACCCGGCCCGGCCGGCGGGGCTCCGTGGTTGAGTGTCGACCTAGGAACCAGGAGGTCAGGGTTCGATTCCTGGTCAGGGCACAGGCCCGGGTTGCAGGCTTGATCGCCAGTGCAGGGCGTGCAGGAGACAGCCGATCCATGATTCTCTCTCCCTTCTCTGAAATCAATCAAAATATATTTTTAACAACAACAACAACAAAAAAC